GGCCGGGCTGTGCTGCTGGGCGCTGCTGTGCTGCCAGGCGGCCGCGCCGCCGCCCCAGTGCCGCGAGGTGAGTGCGCTCCCCAGGACATGAATTGCTTCCCAGACCCCTGGCAGTGCCTCGGGGGACCAAACCAAGGGGCAGCCATGCCTGGGGGTGCAGGAGGCTCCTGTCCAGCCCGCAAAGCTTGGCAGTGCTGTCCCCCTCGCCCCGACTTGGGGTGGATGGGAGGAAAGGGAAGCGCTGCCTTCTGCAGCAATTTGGTACTTCTGTCTGGACGTGCGCGTGGGACGGGAAGGCACAGGGGTTTTGGGCTCGGACGTCCCCGCGAGACAGCAGTGAGGCGGACTTGGATTTCCTCCGGGTAAGGACCGGGGGCTGATCCACAAAGGGGCTTAGGCGCTGCCAAGCTGAGCATCGCACCGCCTGCCTTGGAGGCATCTGGGTCCTAGAGCGGAGTCCCCCAAGTCGGGTTGGGGCAGCGGGTGAGGAAAGCGAGGCGCCCCAGCGGGGATCCTGAGGTGGGGAGCTTGGAAGAGAGGGGTGGATCTGAAATCCCGCTGTTCTCAGGTGCTTAGGGGATCCCATCCCAGGTAGCTGCTACCTCCGAGTGGAATTCGCAGCCTGAAGTCTGTAAGAGAGGAACCTGGGGCACTCCTTTCTTTTGAAACATGGGTGCGGAGGAGGGGGCAGGAGTGGCGCTGCTCTTGTGTGGAAGAGCTCGGTGGCTATTTCAGTGGCTTGTCTGGCATGTAGGAGATGGGCCAGGAGAAAAGCATGCGATCCATGCCTCCTACCACCCAGAAGACTGTCCTATCTGCTGGGCTACAGGGTGCTCGGAGGTGGGGAAAGGGGCCCCTGCTACAGCTGTGCCAGTTTGCACAGAAGAGCAGAAGGCTGAGGAGGGAGCGTGACTGTAGCCTAGTGCTTAGGGCATTTCCCTGGGATGAGGAACCCCAGGATTTCCCATTATATTGTGGGGAATTGAATTGTGAACACCTCTGAAGGGAGTGGAGAGCAGAGGCATCTCACGGGGAAGGTTTGCAGGGAATCCATGTGAGAAATTACTTGAATTGCGTCATAGAAGTAGAAAGTGGCTGGTTAATCTATGGTTTGAACTAGCTAATATACCTAATGCATTTTGCGGTAGGTGAGTCTAAGTTTATGGGCCTAATTCCGTTTCAGTTTTTATTAATGGCATAATTCCTGTTGTCAGTGACTTGAGTCTGAGCAGGCTGAGGTTTCTGAATGATAAGATTCCAGTTGTTGTTAGAGCTGTAAAACCTTCTTGCTACATGTACTTTCAGATTTAAAGACTCGATAAAGGCATTATCACCTAAAGGCTTGAAATGCACATGTCTTAATGCACAGGCATGCAATTCACTTTGACATCTGTACCAGATATTTCCATTAGCTACGCTATTTTTTTTTTCATAGAACCTACTTTTCTGATGCCTAGAAATAGATCCTTGCTTATTCTTGTGAGATTTCTAGTTGTCTTATACTTAGAGCCAAAGGCTCTAGTCCCGTAGGAAGGCTCCTATGTGCCCTGGTGATAATGCTGCTATTAATATGCCCCCTGTTAGGCCAGGCCTCTCTTGGTCTACTGTCTGGTACCACGTAAACCAATACAGCCTGTTCCATGGTTGGGTTGTCAGTGACTAAACCCGTACCCCCGCTTGGATTAGCCTGGGTGAGGAGGGTGTGTGGGCACCAGGGCTGTCCTTGGGGGGGAGTGAATCAGGGTGACCACCCCGGGCCCCCTGCTTTGGGGGTCCCCGAGCTGGGCAGAGTGGTGGCTCTGCGTCCAGCTGCTCATAGCGCGCCCCCCCCCCCCCCCCGCCACTGTCGCCGTCAACAGCAGCGGCAGCTTCTTTGGGTCTGGGATTAGAGCAGGGCCGGGGCCACGCATGGGCTGATTTGCCCTGGGTCCCGCACCCTGCTGGGGTCGCCTCTAGCGAGCATCCAGCAGGACTACAAACAAGACCTGTCAAAGGGTGGATGATCTCCCTGTGAGCCAACGGCCATCCGTACCTGGAGAGGAGACGACCACTTTGTCCGAGGAATCACCAATGATGCACAGCATCTAAAGGTGCCCCAGCAGTCACAGTAGCCTCGGGACTGACTAGACTTGACTTGACTTGATTAATATACCAGTTTTTGGAGAGAGATCACTTTAAGGCTTAAACAGTTGACAAACCAGGGTTTAATGACATTGCTCTCTTTTAGGGAGGACTTTGCTAATTCAATGAGCTGATTTAATAATGGTATGCCCATGCTGATTCAGAGGTGCCATTGCAGCTTGTGTTGATTAGGGGTGCACCAATAGAGATTTTTTTGGGCCGATACCGATGGCTGATTTTAAATGAGCCATATTGGCTGATACTGATCTGATTCCGATATGCAGCCGGGTAGCTTGGAGACCAGCATCAGGCTGGTAAGTCTGGTGGGGGGAAGGAGTGGAGGGAGCAGATTGAGGCCCCTGCGGTGAGGGAGGGAGTGGAGCTGGGGCACTGCAGAGCTGGGGTGGGGCGCAGGATGGAGCTGTGGCTCATCCAGGGGTTGCGGGAGCGGGGGGGCAGCTCCTGCCACTGCACACACCCTGTGAGGGCATGGGCGGCATGTGCCCTGGATCTGCACGTGGGGCAAGGTCGGGTTGTTGCTGCAGGCTGGGGCAGGTGCTGGGCTCTTCCTGGCTGGGGCTGGGGCAGGCGGCAACAATGCTGCGAGGGCAGCTATGGGCGGGCAGGGGGCCACAGCCACCCCAAAATTCTCCATAGCCTCACTCTCAGCGCCACCGTTGCCCGCCCTGAGTGCAGCCTGGCCCAGTCCCTCCATCATGCTGCACCAGGCTCTGCCCCAGCTCACAGTAGCAGCCTGTCCTTGCCCCGCGCAGATCCGGGGCACGTGCCCCCCATGCCCTCCCAGGGTGCATGCAGTGGCGGGATCCTCCCGTGCGTCCTGCTCTGCCCTGGCTGAGCAGTGCCTGCCCCTGCCCTATTCTCTCCCTCACTGCAGGGGCCTCTATCAACCCCCCCCCCCCCAATGCCCCTTCCCTTCCCCCACAACAGACTTATGAGCCAGATGCTGCCCTCCAAGCTGCCAGGATGCACTCCTGGCTGTGTGCATGCTGCAGCTGTGTGCATGCACGAGGCATTTATCAGCCACATTATCGACCACATCAGGCAAAAAAAGCCGATTGCAGGTACTGTCAATTTTCTCTATACCAGTGCCGATCTGATATGGGACCAATGTATTGGTGTACCCATAGTGTTGATGTATGTGTTGTAGCTCAGCACCAATGAACTGCCTGAATATTTACTCTGGACCCATGGCATGTTTTTCAGCCTGCACTGGGCTTCTGGTGTCTACTCTGTTTTAATTTCCTGAGTTATCAGGGTAAGCTTGAAACCTGCTATGTCTACATGACCAGCTGTCAGAGCTTTGGATTGTCTGGTTAACATATCCCAATCACCCTGTAAAGTGTATGCTGTACTGATGATGAGCTAGCAATTACACCTATAGTGGTGGAGACTAGGGGCCAAAATCATCCCTGGTCTGGGACAGTCCTGTTAACTCTGGTTCATAGAACGGTGTCCAGGTACAGGGGCAATGAATCAGATACTAGTGGAGCTGATGAGTGGAAATGAGGAGTTATCTTGCCCCTAACCCTTCTTCTTCCACAGTTGTAGAGTATTTTTGAACTGTGACATTTTCTATTATTCCATTTAGTTTAGTTTTAAATTTCCCAGGCTCCCACCTTTTCTTTGAGAGACTTTTGTAAGCAAATAGATCTCACTGTCAAACTTTAATTGATGTTTAGCCTGTATTGACCTCTTAATTTCATCCCAGTCCTCCTAGTTTATCTCCTTGGTACCAGCCAAAATGATTCCTTTCCTTCCTTGGTGTTTACACACTTAAATTTGGAGTATTGTGTATGATGCCTTCCCTTTTCTTTGTCTTTTAACTGAGCTCTATATTTTTAGAGCAGGGTTCTGATCACTACTTGAAAGGGATCATTGACCTCAATAGGAGTGAAGGAGTTCAGCATTTTGGGGGATTTGTTTCTTTAGTTACTTATCCTTCTCTAATTCTGCTTGAGCTTTAATCATTTGTTTTTCCTTTCTGAATTGCTCCCAGTTTGTCTCCATCTTTCTGGCAATATAAGGACACACAAAAACAGCCATGCTGATAAGGTACAACTAGGGAAATATGTGGGCTGCTTATACAATACTTGCCTGAGGTGTGCTCAGTGGTGTTTATTACAACTCTGTAGCAAGAGGCAGAGAGAGCAGTCCTTCAAACAGAATATTGTGAGCTCTTAGGAAATTGAAAAGTTTGGTGCTCGGTCCTGAAAAATCTGTGCACTGAGATAGAAGAACAAGAGAGAAGACCTGATTTTGAAGGTCTGAGTGGGATAGAGTCATAGAAAAATAGGGCTGGAAGACACCGTAAGTGGGTCTCTGGTCCAGTCATCTATTTATGGAAAGATAATCCCTGTCTAAACCATCCCAACAAGTGCTTGTCTAACCTGCACTTCAAAAAGCTTCCAAGGATAGCGATTCCACAACCTAGAATCATAGAAAATGAGGGTTGGAAGGGACCTCAGGAGATTTAATCCAACCCCCTGCTCAAAGCAGGACCAACCACAACTGGATCATCCCAGCCAAAGCTTTATCTAGTTGGGTCTTAAAAACCTCCAAGGATGGAGATCCCCTACCTCTCTGGGTAACCTGTTCCAGTGTTTTCCTACCCTCCTAGTGAGAAAATTCTTACTGATATGCAACCTAAATGTCCCTTGCTGCAACTAGAGGCTATTGCTCCTTGTTCTGTCATCTGTCACCACTGAAAACAGTCCAGCTCCATCCTCTTTGGAACTCCCCTTCAGGGTTGGAAGGGACCTCCAGGAGGTCATCAGTCCAACCCCTTGCTCAAAGCAGGACCATCCCCAACTAGATCATTATAGCCAGGGCTTCGTTGAGCCAGACCTTAAAAACCTTCCACTGCCTCTCTAGGTAACCCATTCCAGTGCTTCACCATCTTCCTAGTGAGAGTGTTTTTCCTAATAT